GTTGTGCCAAATGGGTGGAGCCAATTGGTAGGATCGTATTTTTTGGAAGGAGGTGTCTATAGGGGAAGATCTGCCTCTTCATGTGTTCCAGACCCTTTTCCAACCTCGGGCTCTGGGTAAGGATGAATCGAAGGAGTGGTATTACTTAGCACCCTGGGGGGCTCATAGCCCATTTGTAACTGGCCTCCCTTATTCCATAAAGGGTTGGAAAGAATCATGGTTCTGGGTGAGGGGTCGATGGTAAAGAGTTGAGGGATATACAATCCCACATGTACCGTGCCCACCCAGTACTCTGAAGCCTATGAGTGTCTTTCGTTGGATTTGCAAAATGTTTACCTGATCTGACCTAACTATGTTTGAGCTCCAAGAGGTTGAATAGGGAGTAATCGAGGACATTTTTAAAAAACCAGCGAAGCTTCAACACTTCGACCACTTGATAGACCGAAGCTGGTACTTCAGGGAATTCGAACTTATGGCTTCCATGGGTAAGAACCTTTGACACATTATTTTGGATTACCTGATTCGCCAACCTGACCTCTTGCATTTGTAGATAATTTTAACAAGATGAGATATCCCATGCCCAACATGGCTTCTATACTCAAGGCAACGTCCACCGTTGGGGCTAGGCCACTAAAGCATTTCTCTAGTCCAGCCAAGGATGTTAAGAGTAGGCTGGAACGCCTCAGCAAAGTGCATGTGGAGAAGAATGCTGAGGAGACGACCTCCACGGGCGAGAAGAGAGAGGAAAGGGGTAAGGGGAAGGCTCAAGAGGAAGAGCCCAAAAAAAGAAAACTGGTGCACACAAGTGGGTCTCCCTCAATGAAGTTCGGGACCACTATGTCCCAAGGTAGAAAGGCTATTTTATCAAAGTCGAAGCTCATGGAGTCTACCATGAAGGTAGTGAAGGTGGAATTGGTGAGGAAAGCCAATGAAGAGGCTGCGAGGGAGGAGCGAGCCTCAGAGTCTTCGAAGAAAGCTCCTATTGAGAGGACCCATGAAAAAGCTGCAAGGTTCCTTGTAGGTTGTGAGGAGGAGGTGGCCCTTACAGTTTTAGAACTTTTGCCAGAAGAAGTCCGGGGTGCCACAACCACATTTTACAAGTATTGGACGGATAAGTGGCAGGACTACGCCTCTTCTTGTGATGCTGTTGACTTAACTGTAGCACTGGAGAGCCAGAGTGTCAGAACTCTGGGGCTAGCTTTGGAGTGTCAAACTTTCCTTACTGATGTGCAAATGAGGAATAGGGAGTCATTCACAAAGTTAGCCTACGTTGAGTCTAAGTTGAAGGCATTGAGGGTCGAGAATGAGGCTCTGAGGTCCCAACAGGCTGAAGATAGTGTAAAGCTAAAATCTGCTCTGGAGGAGATGGAGACCAAGAAGAAGGAAGCTTACGAATCCTTGTGTGAAATGGCTTCCTTAACTAAGAAGGTCGAGATCTCCAATAACCACCAGAAGATTACAGCTGAAGCCCTGGAGAAATCAAAGCTGGAGATCATGGGGCTGAAGGACTCCAATGCCTTTTACGAGGCTCAGTTGAAGCATTACCAAGAAGAGGCGAGGGTGGCGAAGGAGGAGGCTCAACGGGCGAAGTACGAAGTGGAGAGGGCCAGGGCAGAGGCGGTAAAGAACTACATTGCCAACTTCCATGATATGACAGAGTATCAGAGCTTCTCCGCATATTGGAGGAGGGTCGGCTATGCCGAAGTGGTGTAGAGGGTTGAAGAGCTTCATCTTGATCTTGACACCTCAGCATTGAGGACAGAGTTCTTGGCTAAAGTACCTCAGACCCTAGCTGAGGAGGCGGCAGCTACTGAAGTACCTCCGACCCTAGTTAAGGAGGTGGCAGCTACTGAAGTACCTCCGACCCCAGCTAAGGAGGTTGACAAGGGAACTGAGGCAGCTGAAGCACCTCCAGTCTAGGCTCTAGCCCCTGAGGCCCCACAGTCCTTTTTTTTTGTAATTAGTTTTATTTCATTTTGTAAACTAGGCCCTGTTCCTCGTCCATGTAATCACCCTATCAATAAAATTTAAATTTTGCTCAACTGTTTGTACTTTACCTTCTATTTTTGTTTTGCCTTGTATGATGGATGGATAAGCACGTTCAAGGACAAATTACTTCGTTTTATAAACTGCCATCGTGATTTTTCCAAGTGACTTGAGGTCGTCTTCTTATGTAGTAATTCGCTTGGTTGTTCTTCAAAGTGGATTGAAAATGGGCTTTTTAAGTTCCTCAAATGGTAGATGGTGCAGCCATGTGGAAGCTTCTCCATTTGGACATTCAGCTTCGTCAAGGGGAGGCATGTGAGGTAGCCTCGGAGTTCAGACGAGGTCGGACCTGTTGGGGTTCGAGCCTCTCCTCCGAAGTGACACGCTTTCCCACATGGTCGATGATGCACCCAAGCGGAGGCTTCTCTCCTTAAATGTTCAGCTTCGTCAAGGGGAGGCATGTGAGGCAGCCTCGGAGTTCAGACGAGGTCAGACCTGCTGGGGTTTGAGCCTCTCTTTCGAAGTAACACGCTTCCCCACAGGGTGGATGGTGTAGCCATGTGGAGGCTTTTCCCCTTGGACATTCAGCTTCGTCAAGGGGAGGCATATGAGGCAGCCTCGGAGTTCAGACGAGGTCGGACCTGCTAGGGTTCGAGCCTCTCCTTCGAAGTGACACGCTTTCCCACATGTTGGATGGTGTAGCCATGGGGAGGCTTCTTTCCTTGGACATTCAGCTTCATCAAGGGGAGGCATGTGAGGCAGCCTCGGAGTTCAGACAAGGTCGGACCTGCCGGGGTTCGAGCCTCTCCTCCCAATTGACATGCTTTTCCATATGGTGGATGGTGCAGCCATGTGGAGGCTTCTCCTCTTGGACGTTCTGCTTCGTCAAGGGGAGGCATGTGAGGTAGCCTCGGAGTTTAGACGAGGTCGGACTTGCTGGGGTTCGAGCCTCTCCTCCGAAGTGAGACGCTTCCCCAAATGGTGGATGGTGCAGCCATGTGGAGGCTTCTTCCCTTGGACGTTCAGCTTCGTCAAGGGGAGGCATGTGAGGTAGCTGATAAGTGTATTTTATACACTTATTTCATACTTAAAATAATGACATTTAGGGGTTCTTTCGACAAAATTATATCCTAAATTCTTGTATTCTACGTTTGATAGGTAAATTTTATAAACAAAAAGAAATTGAAGGAAAGAGGCAAAAATGAGCGAAAAGTGGCAAAATTCAAGTGCAAGGACTACATTGCATTAACTTAAAAGATTGGATGGCTTGAAGGGCAATATAACATTAATTGCTTTGAATTGGATTCCTTTAGAGTCAAATATTGTTGCCAGGTTTGGGGGAGAGAATATATATACACACTTTCACACCAAAAAAGAGAGGGGGCAGCCAATTTTCTCTTATACACACAGACGAGAGCTGCTTGGGGGACTTGGGAGGAAACATCAAACAAGGTCGGCAACTACTAAAATATATATACAAATCAGCGGCTACAAAGGAGGAGACAAGAACAAACAAAAGAAAAAAAAACGAGGAGGCTGCCGAAAATTGGTTTGTTAATTGGAAGAACATTACAAGCGGCTGAATTGGATTCTCTGACCAAAAGAATTGCTGTCTCTGTAATGCACACATCAAAGGAGGCTGAATTAATCATATAAAAGCACAAAAAAAAAGAGGCAGCTTCTGGGAGAGTTTGGCAGTTTGAGAAAATAAAGAAAAACGTGGGCTGCAACATATATATTTACAAACATGGGCAGCTTTTGAAGAGACAAAAAGAGGCAAGAATTGAGGCTGCTGGTTGACAAATATATACATATATACACGTGCAGACGGAGAGGGAAAAAGGGAGAATTACACAAACAGATTTGGAGGGAAGAAAAAGCAAACACGAAGATGACAAAGACGTGACCACGGCAGCGTCACTTTGGAAATTAATTACGCTTCGTCAATTAATCCTGGTGATGTCTTCCATTATTTTATCTTGTGTTTCTTCCATTATTATGAATAGCTAAATTTGATTTAGGGCGAACAATCTAACTTAATTGGATACCTTTATTTCGTTGAATTAAGATTCTAGTACTTTAATTTTTTTATGTGTTGATTTTAATGTCGTGCTTAATGCTTTTAATTACTTGATAACTAATTATTTGATTTGTGAACAATGATTGCGTAGAGATACTGATTATTTGTTTAGACTACATGTTAAAATCCGATAAATTGATATAACGTGTAGAGATACCTATATTGATTGCTGCGGCCATGTGTGAATTCTTAGAACCAATGTTGCGTTTAATTAAATTTAATTTGTATAGAGATATGAAATTGAACTGATTAAATAGGCTCAACGAGAACTCGAGAGGGGTAAGTTGATTACCATAGAAGAATTTGACCGAACATTACTTTATGTTGTATGAATCTTGATTTACGAAGTAAAGGTGACCATTAGGTGAAATTGTTCCGCCCTAAGGTCCTTTATTATTTGAATTCTCAATCATTTTCTATTGCATCCATTCGCATTTTCTTTAGTTGTTAGATTTAAAAATCACATTCAATCAAATATATATATATTTTTATTTATATTCCTCAAATAGGAGCTAGGAATAGTAAATTGAGTACTAAAGTATAGTCCTCGTGGGAACGATAATCCGGACTCAAAAGGTCCACTTTACTACTTGTTACGACCCGTCCACTTGCAGGATAAAATCGACAATCCGAAGTGACACGCTTCCCCACATGGTGGATGGTGCAGCCATGTGGAGGCTTCTTCCCTTGGACGTTCAGCTTCGTCAAGGGGAGGCATGTGAGGCAGCCTCGAAGTTTAGATGAGGTTGGACCTGCTGGGGTTCGAGCCTCTCCTCCGAAGTGACACGCTTCCTCACATGGTGGATGGTACAGCCATGTGGAGGCTTCTCCCCCTGGACATTCAGCTTCGTCAAGGGGAGGCATATGAGGCAGCCTCGGAGTTTTGAGGCTTACCAGATTAGATGTGTACAACAATACTTGCCCCTCTGCGTTCATGAATACCACAATTAGTTACCTATTCAGTTACACACCCAATTTTGGGAACCTGACTATGTTCTTTGGATGTTCATCTATCAGTACAGCATTAGCTTCCAATAAGTTCCGTTGTCATGAGAATGGTACCTTGGTTAAGAATGGCTATTTCACAATTGGATCTATTCCAACTGATAGAGATCTTGGAAACTGCATGAACAGTGTTACAGTCCCCGTGCTCCAAACAGCAGTAAGTGCTCTTAGAAACAATTCAACATTGATTGATCTGGTTCTAAATGATGGATTTGAAGTACACTGGATCACGGATGACGCAGCATGCACAGTGTGCAGGATTTGGTGGGAGATGTGGATACAACTCAAGTTATTTTAAACCTATATGTTTCTATCCCAATAAAGCTTACTTGATGAGATGTCAACTTCCACCAGGTAAAATAATACATATAATTCACGCATTATCTGTAAAACGGATCAAGCAAAAATCTGTGTTAACACAACCTATCAGATAACAAATAATTATGAATCTCAGAGTTGAAACAAAATATTTGTGGTCAACCAAAGAGTATCCATCACTTCAAGTGCCGGAAGTCAATGTTATGATTTTAGACACACCCATCAAACTACTTGCTTCATATCTAATTGATCGTTGTACATTGATTGCATTGCAGGAAACCATGCGAATCCTGGGGTTCGAATTTTTATAGGTATTCCCAACACACTAATTATTGTATATATGTTCATACCACTTTCCAGCAAAACAACGTGATATCAAAATCTTGTTATCTTCCTTGTAAACAGCTGCATCCGCGTTTGGAGCTTGCATTCTTTTGGTGATATCCATCCTATGTGTTTGCTTTAGAAGGAACTATATTGCATACGTATGTGGGCCTTTCTGGAGGAAGATAGCAAAGAAATTTGAAAATTTAGAAGATATTCTAGAGAAATGTGGACCTATGGCACCAAAGAGATATCGCGATTCAGATATAAAGAAAATGGCTGGATCTTTTAAGGACAAATTAGGACAGGGAGGCTATGGAGTTGTGTATAAAGGGAATCTGCAGGACTGTTGTCTGGTTGCGGTAAAGGTTCTGAATGAGTCCAGGGTAAATGGAGAAGAATTTGTAAATGAAGTCTCCAGCATTAGCAGGACTTCACATGTAAATATTGTCACCCTTCTTGGTTTTTGCTTTGAGGGGTCTAAACGAGCACTCATATATGAGTTCAAGCCCAATGAGATTTGGGGTTTCAATATAGTCTCTAGTTTTTGAGGGGTGAGATTTGGGGTTCCAAAAAATGTTGCAAAAAGATTATTAAAAACATTTACAAAACGTAGCGAAAAGGTTATTAGCAACATTCAAAGAATGTTGCAGAAGGTTATTAGCAGCATTCAAAAAATGTTGCCTTATCCTTCTATTGAAGTTTGCAATATATGCCTAAACGTTGCAAAAAGTCTTCAGCAACCTTTTTTGAACATTGCGACTTTAACAATGATTTACATCTTACTAAACTTGGGACTTTAACAATGATTTACGTCCATCGACCTTTAAAACATACTTTTTGCCCTTGTTCGAATCACATTTTTTCTTATTTTTTAACCATAGATTATCCCCAAGTGTATAAGGACCAAATCAAGCTGAAAAATGAGGAAGAAAGGAGAGTGATAGGTTAGAGAAAAAGAGAAAATAGTGAGGTGGCCGGTAAAAAGGAAAAGAGAGTGGGGCCATATGAGAGTAAAGAAAGAGAGTCTTCAGAAAGGAGAGAAAAGCCGAAGGTAAATTTCTTTGCGAAAGGGAGTGAATTGAAAAAGACAATAGTGGAGAGACAACAAATAATCTAGTTGGTGCACAAAAAATCACTCCTCAATTTTGAGGAGTCTAACACATCCTTTCCTAGTTTGGCTATTTCTTTGTTGTAGGAATTTGAAGATGTGTTTCCGGAAGATGTCCCTAGTGGGTTGCTGTCCATTAGAGGGACAAGCATCAAATTGATTTCATACCCGGAGTTGTCATTCCAAATCGACCAGCTTATCTAAGTAATTTGGAGGAGACAAAGGAGCTTCAAAGGCAAGTGGAAGAGTTGATGAGCAAGGGTTGTGTGAGAAAAAGCATGAGACCACGTGCCGTCTCACTGTCATGAAAAAATTCTCTAACTCAACACACTTATATTGAGTATAACATTTTCAAAAAATGAGCTTTATTTATCGTAAACTCATTAGTCTTCCGCTTAGTTTTCAAGAACTTGAATGTTTTCAATAAACTTAATGTCCAAGTAGAAATTCCATCTCATCCTATATTAGGTTAAAATTCTATATTCCAGGGACGAATCCAAGAAGAGACTACAAGCATGGCTAATATGTAAAATAATAATAGTAATAAATTTACTCATAAAAAAAATTGCTCTAAAAAAATTAAATGGGTTGGGGACTGGATTGAGCTATAGCCCAGTCCAGTCCCCCATATACGTCCTTGATATACGGTATATATGCTTCCATCACTTTAATATTCTTCTATGCTCTAAACTAAGAATCATTTAAATAAGATTGCATCCATTTAGAAACAGATTTCTATCACATTATTCAAAGGCTTAAAATAACTTGTGTGTAGTTAATCTAATTCACCAATATACATAATCTTAATTTTATTAATATTCTCCAAACATTTTTCCCTTGATAGGAAGAATATCAATTTCACATTTTTATAACTCAATATCCACCAAAAATTTCATTTATGAATAAGTACCCTTTGAACTGTCATAGTCGACTATGCGTCTATGATAACCCATATTTAGTTATTTATGTGTCCAAAGCTTGTACAATTCTAAAGGTACTGACTTTGAAAGAATTCCATTGGTAACAGATTTCAGTTAACCAACCTTATATTCAATGTAAATTGGACTGCATTATCTCAAGTTTCATCATATTCAACAATACTCCAATTCTTCTACTTAATAGACCATATTTTTTTAGATAAATAAGGAATAGTCAATCCATAAGGATTTATCTTGCAATACATAGATCATTGAACTCTTGTGATAGATATTCATGCTTTCACATAGTTCTCAAATTCTTGAATTTAGTAATATGATTTTCTACTCAACTTCAGCAAAATCTAAATCAACTCAATGTCTTAAACTTATGAAAATTAGAAGTACACTTGAAATGCGTAAATTCATTTATAATGTAATGAAAAAATGAGGTTTAATCTCTATTTCTCTTAATCATAGCCCATAAAGAAATTTTGATGGACTAATTACATGGAAGTTTAGCTCTTATAGCCTAAATGATTTTCACAATTCAAAACCTCAAACCATTGCAAAAATATCCAGAATCATAATAAATATCATAATAGTGAGTACGAAATAAAGCTACCTTATGGAAGTTCAAGTTTGAAACCATTCTTTGAAGAACAATAGCCGATATCGAGTTTAATAGAGTCTTTGATACTATCGTAATATCAAACATGAGGTTAGTTTCTCCCTTGCAACAATAAGTTGCATGTACCAGTTATATAAATATCTACTCCATCTTCATTATGTATGTGTGTGTGTGTACCAAGTCAAAGACTTGACAATAGACTAAAGACTAAAGACATATCTTGATCTCATATAAGTGGATCTCTAACTCTTGGCTCTACTATCCACACAAGATAAGATCTAATATATAGTATTTGACATGTGAATAATACTAAAAGGAAAATATTCAAGTATATTGTCCTTTAGCTTTAACACTTTTGAGCTAAGTGATTCAAAATCTTATAGTTTAAGCATTTGAACCTTTATAATGTTAATTTTCTACAAAAACCACTTTCATGTCCTTACTATCTAATATGTTCTTCTTAGTTCCTTTTCTAATCTCCTATCTCTCCTACATTTGTTATCGCTCATATAATACTTAAGAGCTAAAGTCTTATACGAACTAGAATATTGCTACACAAGCATGACCTCGATATTTAACAACATCAAGTCACATGTTTTTTTAACTCAACACAATAGATAGTTTCAATAAAGAAAATCAACTCTCAATTTAAAAGTTAGATTGACCTTCAAAGTTCACAACTGTGGAGAAGAGACTACTTTGAAGTTACTACTTATTTGAAAAAATTGTGACAACTAAAAATGTCAACACTAAGCTAACCACCTTAGTTTAGTCACATTTGAAAATAAGATCATCTATAACAGAACTCATCAAATCAAAGGCTCAAGTACTAGAATGTATCTTTTTCCGTACTTGGCATAGTTTTTGATCTCTTTTCTCTAGAGTGGTACGACCCACATTAGGTCTTCCATTACGTCGCTAATGCTCTAAAGCCTCATGTACTTCCAGTACACTAAAAACTTATTGTGCCAAATGTTCTCGCATTTAGCTTATCATTTTTATAAAGGCCAACACCTATATATTTTTGATGCCATGATCTATCAGATTTGAATTGCAGTTATTTTCAAACAATTCCTATTTATGCACATGTATCGTTTTGCATTTATGCAAATTAACATATATGATAATTCAACTTTAGGCACAGAGTAGAAAGTTCACTATGTTCTCAATCATTATTCGTAATCCTATTATTTTACTATAATAAAGTTAATTTTATAACACAAAATCGATAAGTTCTAAGTGAAAATTACATTTATTTTTCAACTTTAGAATTTTCATTCAGTTGATGAATTATATAGTTCTAGATGACATTTTCTCTAAATCTTTTGTTGTGATCCAAGGAAGATAACTAGCTATTAAGAGTTTGATATATGTTGAGGAGAGGTCAAGGGAAAGCTTTAGATTAAATAGAGTTCATGGGGCCCTAAATTCATGTGCCCAAGCTACAAAGTCCAAAAGAGTGAAGTTAACAAGCCTAAGAACAAGTTTCATGTTGGGCTAGGAAGAAGAAACACATTGGATCAACTTGATTTGAGTAATGAAAGAATGGAGCAAATCACATAACTATGCAACTGCACAGTTATATGAACCATGCGACCTCATGTGACCAAGCAACGAGTGAAGCTGGAGAATTCAAGGCTTTTTTGCAGTCACATCGAAGGCAACTATGCTATCGTGTAGTACAAGTTTGACATGCGATTTTTCCAATTTCATGAAATCTTTTATTTATGTTAAAACTTTACTTTTTGGTATCTTTTAGTGCATTTAAACTTTAATTTCGTTTAGACTAGATTTTTATGGGTTTCCTATAAAAAGGACTAATTATTCTATATTGTAAACAACATTCATTATATCAATTGAGAGATTAATTTTGTGAGCATAATTTTCTTTCAATTTCTTGTTCTTTATTGAACAAATTTCGAACTTATCAAGAATTATTTTCTTGTGGCATTCAAACAAATTCGGGTGAGATTCTTGAGTCTTGTGATCAAGCAATCAACATATTATCGGCGTTGTTGGCTACTTAGTTCAATATTTTTGAATCAAACTCAAAACTTTAATTTCTTGGCTTTCTTGAGTTATGATTCAATCTCATGCGGGTTTCATAGTTTCAATTGTTATGTGGGTTCGCATTAGTTGGTATTAAAGCTTAGACTCCAAAAATCAAGGTTATATCATTTTCTTTTTATTTGAGTCTTTTATTTTCATTTTCTTCGTATTCTTCGTGTTCTTTGTCTTTTGGGTCTTCAATCTATAAAAATACCAAAAAAATTTCAAATGTTGTTCGTGAAAAAAAAATCTGAAAATTACCAGCAGCATTTAATTTCATCTTTTTTTGAGTAAAAAAATAAAAAGAAGTATATACATATACATAAATATATATATTTCAGTATTGTCCAACCCAAAATTCAAGAACTACTTTCTTGGATAACATAGTTCCCATTCAAAGGTGTTTAATTCTTTTTGCTTCTTTCTTTTCTTTCTTTCTAGAGTCTTCTAAAATTACAATTCTTACTCACATCCTAGTTTGAATTCTTCAAGGATAAAACTTAGTTGAGATCGAATTAGTTATTTGAAGTACTTGAGCAAAATCATTAAGTGGAAAAAGGTAAGAGTGGTGAGATTAATAGAGGACAAAAGCCAATTGGAGTTATATACAAGTGTATACACGTGAGGCATTTATTACTTTAGATTTAGGATGTTTGACAGGAATGATTCTAGCTCAAGCAAGAGCAACAATCAAATCAACATGTCGAAAAGAGTTGATACAATGATTCGAGAGGTTGTTTGATGATGTGAGGAATAAGTTGGATAGACAGGAGGCATGGATGGAAAGATAAGACCTATTGCTTACCAATTTACATAGGGGAGCTCCTAAAGCAAGGAGGCAAGGTA